CTGGCACAGGTTGCCCAGAGAAGCTGTGGCTGCCCCATCCCTGGAAGTGTCCAAGGCCAGGTTGGACTGGGCTTGGAGCAACCTGGGCTAGTGGAAGGTGTCCATGGCAAGGGGGTGGAATGAGATGATCTTTAAAGTCCCTTCCAACCCAGCCCAGTCTGTGATCCCATGATCTCTTTGGGGAGCTGGTGGGAGATGTTGCACCAGTGGCCCTTGTTTCCCTTCTGGGGGAACCATTTGTGCTCTGTGAGATGATCCATCCAGTTTATAGGCAATGTGAATAATTCATCAGGAGCCTTTTCTTGGAAGTGGGTTTTCCCCTGGGGGTGTTGGTAATACTGAGGCTGGGGAGTGGTTTGTCTCCTTTCCACTGCAAATCCTCTCGTCCTTGGGGCTCGGGCTCGGCTGCTGCTCCCACACCCAGCTACCCCCACCACCTCTCACTGGGACCTTTTTGCTGGCCAAAAGGATTTTAAACGCTTCCCAGCCTATAAACACCCTGGCTCTGTGAAGTCCTTGGAAATAACTGACAGGGAAAAACCTTCAGCAGCCTGAGCCTGTTGCTGCACGTCCTAATAGCGTCTGTTTGCTCAGGGGATGCTCCTCCTTCTGGAGCCCACTGGAGTCCACTGTCCAAAAAAGGACATTGCTTTGCTCTGTGTTTACTGCCAGGGTTTTTCCTGCTCTGGAGCCCTCCTGAGAGCTTCAGTGCTCATGCCAAGATGGGACACAACTTGTGAGCTTCCCAAGCGCTTCCCAGCGTGTCGGGAGGAATAACACAGAACAAACTGTGCTTTTAAGGGACGCTGCTGGGACATGCTTAGTTGGTGAAATTGTGCTCATCTCGATGTCTTGGCCACACTCTGACCTGTGTAACTGCCTTCCACGTGTTTTACCTTGAGGCAGCATCGAAACTTTCCTGTCTGAACAAGCCCGTGCACTGTCTGGTGCAGAATAATTCTGCCTGAGTTTCCACAGGAATGAATGATTCTTAGGGAGGTTTGGGGTTTCCCTGCCTGGGAAAATGCGACCTGTTTTACCAGTTAAACCTATGGGGATGTAATGATTTACTCCTGGGTTATATAGGCCCTGAGGTTTGCAAAGGTGCTGTGGGGTGATGGGGTGAAAACTGCTCAGCGTTGCAGGATGAGTGTGCTCCTAAATTCAGCGTGCCTGATTTATCCTCCTGCAGCTTGGATGGCTTTGAAGTCCTTAGGGATAATCTGTATTAGCAGAGCCTGCTCAGGGTACCACACTCCATCTTAGGGGAAAGGTTCTTTATTAGGGCTGAGGGGAATATTAATTTCATAAACGGCTCTAGAGTGAAAATAATGTACTTTGAACTAAAACAGGTGCACTTTTTGGCAAGTTCTGCACTCCGAGCTGCTCAGAAGAGTTTAAGGAAGGAATGGGTGGATATTGATTTAAAAAGAACAGATTTCACTGCTCCACTGGCTGGGACCTGTAGGGAATGCTTCCACATGGCTGAGCACCCACATATCCCCCTGCTGCCCAGATCTTCTTGAATTTCTCCCCATTTTACCATCTCCCTCAGAAAGCCTTTGGAATCTGCTGACAGTTAAAAAGCAACAACAGGAAAATAGTCTAAGTGATAGCAAAATCCTGCCCTCCTT